TGTGTGTGTGTGTGTGTGTGTGTGTGTGTGTGTGTGTGTGTGTGTGTGAGTGTGTGATGAAGTAAGTTATGGCATAGAAGGGGGCTTTCCTGAGGTCAGAAAAGCATTATAGAATCTGGAGTTTCCTCTTTGATCACTTAATGCATTATGCTTTTAATATATCTAAGATAATCAGCACATTTTGCAAACTGCCCCTTCCTTCTTTCTTCCCTGCCCCCAATCCTTTCCTCTTTTCTACTGAATTCCAGATTCTTCCCTCTCCATTGATTCCGAGCTTCCCCAGGAGAAGTTTTCATCTATTTCTTAGGTGCTATTTGTGAATCAGTTTCTTTATCATTAAGGCAAAAAGTATAAAGACGTGCAAGTCAAATAAGCCTGTTTCATTCTATCACTAAATAATGAACACAGATCATAATAATAAGTATGATCAAGTCATGGTGACTTTTTATGGGAGCATTTCTGTTTAAAAAAAAGAATGACCTTTTGTCAGTGAATCATCCTGCGTTATGAGTTATTCCTATTTTCCTTGAGATTTTTGAAATACATATTAGCCTTTTTTTCACATGGACACCTGGATTCCATTTACCTAAGGATGAACAATGAAAGAGAATAAAACTAAGTATACTATTCAGTGATTTAACTCCTTGGCAGCATAGAATTGCATCTTGTCAGTTTTACCATATGCTATGGAAGTACGGGAGCTATGATGTATGCATTCTAATTCAGTATAAACCTTGAATGCTGAAGTGGAATTAACCAGCTTGGCTTATTAATAAGATAAAATCATAGGCTTCTAGGATCCAAGTGGACCTTATGCATAATAGAATCTAGTTTGTTTCCTAACTAGGGGAATCCCTGGGGTGTCATCTCTCACAAAGATCAAGTCACTACTGTGCAGTTTTCTGCACACTTACACATCTGTTCTTTGATCCTCACACCTGGTGGTGGCAGCTGTCATTATCTCCTGTGCACAAGTGTGGTTCCTGGCCGAGCATGTTCCCACAGCATTAATTTTCCTACCTCTCCTTAAACACTTGAGAGTGACAGAGAGCTTATTCTTCTGCAAGACAAGTTGGGTGAAATTTCTGAGGGCAGAGTCCTCCTCTGGTAAATAATTAGATACTTGGGTTTAAAATTCACTAAAGGGATCAGAGCTGAACTGATATTTTGTTTCTTTTATTGAGATATAATGGAATTATAACATGGTATCGTTTGAGATGTACAACGTGTTGATTTGATACGTTTATGTATTGCAAAATGATTACCATCATAGCATTAGCTAACACCTCCATTGTGTCTCGTAGTTATCATTTCTTTTCTGTGGTGAGAACAATGAAGATGCAGTCTCTTAGCAACTGTGAAGTTTATAGTACAGCACTGTTGATGATAATCACCATATTGTGCTCTACAGCTCTAGAACTTATTTATCTATTGGTTGCAAGTCCGTACCTGTAACACCTTCCCTCTTACAGGGTTGATTTGTGTCTTACAGCAGTGTTTGGCTCTCAGTCTCTTCCAGTGGACTGGGTTAACTCCAATTATCACACTGTAGTTTTCACTTCCTAGCCCTGGTGTTCCTCGTATCACCATCATGAACCACTGGCATCGTCGTTTCTCCAAATCAGATATCCTCAGTTCTCTCAGCCACATTTTTCTAGATAAACTGCAACTTATCTCTGTGTCTTTTTAAGTTTTCCACACCACAAATTAGAGAAGAGGTCCCTAATAGATGCAAAGATGATGTCAAGTCTTTTAGCAGTTGACTCTCTGTTAGGTCATCTAAATGAAAAACTGCTGAAAACTAAATTTGGCCATCCCCTGTACCTACAACTGAATTCTTTTAAACCTAAACATGCAATGTTGCACTTGTAGTTGGACCCGTCCCTTAAATGATGGCTCCTTTGGGAGTCCAAGCATACGTCGGAGATATTGCAAGTTCAGTTCCAGACCACCACAGTAAAGTGCGTCGTAATCTTTTTGCTGGTGGAGAGTCTTACCTTCAGTGTGTAAACGAGCGCAGCATCTGTGAAGTGCAGTGAAGTGAAGTGCAGGTGAAGGAGTTATGCTGTTGTAGCTTCCTCTCCCGGGGAGCAGCCACCAGCTGGGTGATCTCTTACGAGAGGATAGAACCATTATTAGGAGGGCTGCCCATACCCTTTCAAGTCTGGGACATAATTATTCTATTTTATTGATTTGAGCCCAGTCTAATAAATTGAAATGACTTTGAAGCCTCTCCACACCCACCTTGCTTTTAGTGTCAGAGCCCGCTCCTTCAGCTTCTCCATTTTTGCCAAGTATTGAGCAGGGCAGGTTCAAGGGAAAAACCTTGAGATGTGATCCTAGGCAGTTCCACCCAAGTAGGGCTTAATTCATTAACCAGTAACAAAAAAATCCATCTAATTGTCCTACATCCAATCTATATTTCTCAATTGCACAGCTATATCAAAAAGTCCGTGTGAAATCCCTGCTCTAAACCACAGACCAAATCCATTCATCCACTTAGCAGAGAGATACTTACTCTGTACAAGGCATAGTTTTCTAAACTGTCAGTCAAGTCACGGTATTTTTAAAAAGAGAGAATGAAATTTTGTTGATTTGCTGCCACTGGTTCAAAGTGAGCCCATGCTGGTTTCCGATTTATAATTATTTGCAGTATTTTGTAACTTCGTGTTCAAAATGAAATCAACACTAGTTCTATAGGGATTCAGGTTGGCTTGCTTTGCTTTTAATAAATGTCTTCTTAGCCTTACCTTTGCTTCAGGCATATTGAGTAAGTTATTTATATGTGACCAATAATAATTAATGTGAAGTTGGGGATTATAACAGATGATTTATGAGAACTACACACGCTAAGGGAAGTTAGTGGCAATGAGAAACTTTCTTTGAGAAAGTGAGGTTAATCTTACTGTTAACACTGGATCTTTTGTGCTTTATTAGTATGTGATCAGTCCTCTATTTAGGATTTATATAGTAAATTAAACGTATTTGTAGGAATGTGAAAGAGGGACATTTTCTAGATATTAGCAAGGAATTTAGAGTAAAAAAATGCTCAAGAGTGCCTTTTTAAAAGGAAAATAATTAAGCATGTTTTCATGAATGTGAAGTTTAGATAATAACATAAAAACTTCACCAAATATTCTTAAATGTCTTTAATAACTTAACATCTGCCTGTGGTAAACCATTTAAGGCATGTTAAAAAGGAGGAAAAAAAAAGGTATCTGAGCCATCACATATATTTGATTGTCAGCAGGTACATTGTTCCTGTTCACTGAACTAAATTGTTTGTGATTTAGCTCCATGAAGCAGTGTACAGTGTATTTAAATGAATACGCGGTATATTTAAATTAATAGTCATTTAAATCTTTGCTGTACATAACTACTAACACCTCATTTCAAGACTTTCATTGCTTTTGAAATTATTTAAATATGAATTTTAGAATAAAATATTTTATGACTTCGGCATTGCTGTTTAAAATGCTCATTATTTTCTTAAAATATATGCCATTGTAATTTCTAAAATTCAGTACTAACACTCAGGCAGCAATGATTCCTACAGCCACTAGATGGT